GCGGGGTGCGCCGCTGGTACCTGGAGAAGCATGATGTCGCTGCCTAGTGTCACGTTCTTGAAGTCGGGGTGTCTGTACTCGCGCTTCACGCCGTACCTGCGCGCGTCCGCGCTCGCGATGTTGTGAGCGCCCAGGACCACGCTCATCCTCTCGCTGCTGAGGGAGAAGAAGAACCAGCTTTGACAAAGCATCGCGTCTCCGGTCGCGTTCGTCTGACCTGGAGCTGCGTGTGGATGTTTCTCTCTGCGGGTTGGCTGAGGTTATTGTACGGTTTCTTCCACACTTAAACTACGGGTGTGCTTTGCTTTGTCAAGTTTCCCATGTATTGGCTGCGATTTTATTATTTTTATATCACTTTTCTGCTGTTTCAGTGTGGTGCACCATAAGGATTATGGCATAAGATTCTGATTTATTGTTGGTCGTTACCTCACTACCCTCTACATCAAAATCCTCTGCTGTTCTCTTGCACCATTGTGTTGAGAGAAAGCACTGAAAGGACAGGGCTACTCTCAATTCAAAGCATCTACGATTCCCGAGTTTTCCCTGCCGTAAGAACATAAGGAATGTTACAGCTGAGTGGAGGAAGTTAGTAGTCTATTGACCCAAGGGTCCAACTGTTTGGTTTTTTTTTAAAAAGCCGAGGAGTCAGTTTCAACAAAAATGACAGGGTAGGTTGTTCCACACCTCCACCACCCTTTGAGTAAAGAAGTGCCCTTCCTTCTCAATTTTCACGCCACTTCCACTTAATTTCCACTCATGGCCCCTGGTTCAGGTTTCACTTTTTAAACCAAAAACGGACACACGCTTGAAGACTTAAAGAAATGTCTTCAACCTGAGTAGCCAATTAAACAATTACCCTAAGCATTTTCTTTTGTTAGACATATATAGGATTTTCCTAACACAATTTAAGGTTGTTTCCTTTATGTTCTTAAGGGTGATTACTGAAATCATCTACTTCAGTAAATAATAGTTTTCATAGTTACCATTAGAACCTTGGAGCTCAGTTAGAAGTTTTATAATTATGCTGCTAATTAACTTGAACTTGAACTTTATTGTCCTATTTAACCGGTACATGTACTGGTACAATGGAATTCTGACTTACAGAAAGTCTCTCGATTGTTGAAACACAAAGTGCAGACAGTGCATCAAGACAACATACAAACAAACAGTAGACAATGTACTACAAGTAAACAGTTTGAATCGAAACAATGCAGACATGTTAAACATGACTTCAGATGTGCAATAAATAAATACAATTACAATGAAGTAAATAGACTGTCTAACCGAGAGCTCAGGTTTAAGAAAGAACCCCAGCAGACCAGACTCTGAGAGCCCTGGTTCAAGGCTTGAGAAAGAAATGATCAAATCAAAACCGTCACATAGAACAATCAAGCTCATTTGGGCTCAGTTATAGAACAGTTTGGAAGAAGTGTGCTCTCCACAACTTACCCCTTGGAGCAGTGAGCAGCAGTCATGACAAAGTTCTTCGATATCAGAAAGCCTCCACACCTGTGAGTCCCATTCACCTGTATGGATGCCATGTACAGCTGTGATTTTCCTTTGACTTCTTCTCCATCGATGATGTCTGCATCGAAAGAGCCTAAAGCACAGTTAAAGACAGAAAATCAGATCGCTGAACACAAAAGGCCTGAACACAACATCTGGAAGGACTAGAAGAAACTTTAATTGAACTGTGGTATGTATGTGTCCTGGAGCCGAACAGACAGCATGTCCAGGCTGACTTGTCATTAAAGACATTTATATCTGCTCCAGGACCCTTAATGCGTTTGCACCATTAAGCAATACCACCATTGGGTCGCAGCTCACACATTGTACACTGGGCAGCATTAAAAAGCATCAAGTGATTGCAATATCTTTCCAGAAATATATATTCAGAAACTAACCAGTCAAATCATTACATTCAGTTTATTTCTGAGCAATTAGCCAAGTGTGAAAAAACACTTATGGTGACAAGCCTGCTGGTTGCACACCATACACAGCGGGGTGCGATAATTAATCTTTTCCGCAACAATGTAAATGGAATTTAATGCATTGGATGACATCAATTGAGAATAGAGTCTGCAGTATTTCACATTCATTCGGATACGACACAGATTACAGTTAAAACTCAATGGAAACATGAACCCTTTTCTGCACCTTGAGCACGTTGCCACAGTGTCTGTTTGAGATCAGTTCTGAAGCCAGTTTCCCCCCTAAGGTCCCGTCGCGCGCGATGGAGGTCGGACAGCATCGACGTGCCATCAGACTGCTGGCCTCTGTCCAGGATCAGTCCGGCCTGACGGCTCGAGGCTGTGAGCAGCAGTGTGGACTCTTACCAGTGTGTGCCAGCGCAGGCAGGAGGGCCAGGAGGGCTGCAGGCAGGAGCAGGAGTGCAGACAGCATGGTGTCACTGTGGCTCACAGTGGGGGGTGGCTGTTTCTCGGCTTCTGGGACCTCTATGAGGCAGATATGCAAGTGTGGCTCGTCTTTAATACCCCCCACCCCTGCACACACCTCACAGGAAGCTGAGGTTAATTTAATAAAAAAAACCTTTGAAGTAGCCCTCCTCTGTTTCTGAAAAACAGAAGCCCCCCTAACCTGTGTCTCTGCAGGGAAAAAGGGCTAGCTGAGATCTTGATTAAGATAAGATCACTTTATTAGCCAAATACAATTTCTTGCATTAGGGATTTGTCTTTTCCAATACCTTAGCTTGCTCTCCATTAAACATACAAGCAGGGAGCTGGGGGTCAGAGCGCAGGGTCAGCCATTTATACGGCGCCCCTGGAGCAGTTGGGGTGAAGGGCCTTGCTCAGGGGCCCAAGGGAGTAGGATTCCTCTGCCAGCCGCAGGATTTGAACCAGCAATCACAGGCGAAGATCCTTAGCCACAGTGCCACTGCTCCACCCCACTCACAGAGTCTCTCTGCTGAATCTGGGCTGAGTGTTCTAGCCTCCATTACAACCAAGCTCTGGGCTGTCCTACTTCTTAATTGCGTAATTGAGCCTTGATTGCTTAATTGACCATTGCTCCAGGACTAGCTGGAAGGAGACTTGCAGGAGAGCAGAATGAGTGTGGTATCCATGTTTCAGAACATAGAAAATAGATACAGCAGCTCACTGATTCTTGAGACTTAGTGCTCCTGCGCTCTGACCCCAGGCTCTCTCCCTGTCTGTGTCTGTGTGTCTCATGGAGAGCAAGCTGGGGTATGCGAAAAGATAATTCCTAATGCAAGAAATTGTAAAGGATTAATAAAGTAATGTTATTATTATTATATCCTACTGATGGCTTGATAGACCCTAACTATCCCTAATCACAAACGCTCTATTTCAGATAAGCATAGTGCAGGACCTGTACTCATCAAAATATATATTAGCACCTCTGTGATTGCAGTTCCTTAATCTGAATTCATTCGTTGCAAGTGGTTCATATTAAAGTGTAAAGTATGGTGTCTCCATTTGATCTGATAGACCACAGTGCCTCAGTGTGTATACTTAGCTTGGCCACAGACAGCAAAGTTCCCACATGCCTCAGTGATGCTCTGTTTCCTTTCAAGATGCTCCGTGGTGTGACCTCTGGTTGACGAACACAACCTCGCCACCATACACAATCGCCGCAACATGCTTTGCAAATGTCTTCTCTCCAGCCCATGGGGTATTTTTAACTACAAAACAAGCAGGCCGGAGGGTTAGGTAACATGTTCGCCTCTGAAAATGGAGTCATCTAAGAAACGCTAAGTGCTGCAGGGGAAGAACTGGTTCTAGGCATGCAGGCCGTGATCATAGGAAATAACGTTGTGCTTTTTTGTTGCCAATTGATACCATCTTAATTGCAACCCACATTCCGAAAGTCTTGGTTACGTGGGTGTGTGTGCAGTAAATGTGTGCACAAGCACGTTGGTCGCCAGTTGGGGTGAGCAGAGCTGCTGCCTAATCATGCTGAATCACTGTCAATCAGCACTTGTGCAATTGCTAGACAATACGCAGTCATTCACACAATATAAAGTAATACACAGAGTCGGGGGGACTGTTTTGCAGCGGCGGCTTCCAAAGTACCAACAGAATTTGTCACATGTTACAACACTGGGGCATTAGGACCCACACTGACCGCAGGGTGAGCGCCCCCTACTGGTCCCACTAACACCTCTTCTGGCAGCAGCCTCAGCTTTCCCAGGAGTCTCCCCTCCAGGTACTGGCCAGGCTCACACCTGCTTCAGTGGGCTGCCAGTCGTGAGTTGCAGGGTGTTGGAGCATTATTATTAGTAGGTGATATAGAACGATCAATGTTAGCAGCACACTGGGTTGGAAGGGCCTCCCCTTACCTGACAGACGCCTCCTCCTTTGCCCCCACCCCCCCCCCAGCGTACAGCATCCTCGGCATTATGCAGCTCTTTCAGGCGCTTGATCATGGTGGGGTGCGGGGCGATGCCAGTCCGTGGGCAGACCTTGATGACATCATTCAGAGTCGTCACCTTTCCACCGTCCTCCTGTTTTGACTTGGTCATGAGCGCCAGGGCATTCTGAAACTCTTGGGCATTTGTGCTCTGAGTTATTCTGACTGCCGAGATCGGAGAGATACAAGCTTTCTCCGAGGCAGGTACCGTCGCAGAGCGAGAGGGACGTGAGAGTTTTCACAGGTCCACTTCTGTGCAGAAGTTCCTGGATGATGATCTCATCGGCCCTGTTGCACCTTGACACTGCTCTTCCAACATCTCTGTGCTTTACCAGCATCCTGCCATGACTAAACCACACTTTACTGCATCGTATATGCTTTTACCAAGCATTTTGTAAGGCTCGGTTTCAATCTGAATCTCTTCTTTAAGGAAAAACTCTGCTGCACCTACACACCCTGTGGCAGGTGATCTCACTGGCCACAGATGGAAAAGATTAGGGTACGAGCAGATGGGGCCGCTTGAGCACTGAGCTGGGTGGGAAACATGCTGACACACAGACAGGACAGACATTGAGTCATTTATCACAGTGGCACCACATTGTAACCACGCGGTACAGAGACTGGCCAGAAAGACATTCAGAGTGTTCAATCGAGCGGAGAGCTTATTGTCCTAGTTTATGTCAGCATACCTCATAATGGTGCTAGTAACATAAATGCACAACAGACCTTATTCTAGTAACAGTAGCTCGATATACCTGTTGCCCATCATAGAAACAGCTAATAAAATGTCAGAAAAGCAGTTTATTCTAAAATCCAACCATCCACTGGGCCATCAGTTATTGTACAATATTAATTGCGATCAATGGCCTTTGATTTCAAGAGCAGGATTCAAACCGAATTATTTATTTTTTTAAATATAACTTATATTTTGCAATGAGAAGCAGCAATAAATTGATTCATGAATATTTCTTGAATTCCAGAGTTTTTTTTTTAATCTGTCTGGACTAATTTGGCCCACTGAAATGAATTCTGAAGGATAAAAGGAAAGGAATAAAAGGAAAAATAATTTTCATCTACTTGCATATAGACCTTCATGTGTATGTATTACATGCTTTGCTTAGGAAAAGCAAAATATGTATTGGCATGTAGGCCTGGCATAACAGGTAATGACTTTAAAGACATTATTGTGTCTAAAAATTATTAATTGTCATTAATCCATCCATTTTCAAACCACTTCTTCCAGTTCAGGGTTGCAGGGCAGCCAGACTCTATCCCAGCAAGCAACGGGCACAAGGCAGGACACACCCTGGACAGGACGCCAGTTCAGCACAGAATGGCATTTAATTATTTCCACTGAACACATCGATTTATTTTAGAACTGATAGTATGGGAAGATGGGATTTTGGTAGGTATCTAGGCAGGGCTGGGTTGCAGAAACTGTTGATCTTCCTTTCCTACTCAATGGCAGCAGCATGATGTCATTGTCTAGCATGTCGTACCTGGCATAAACATGGTAAAACTTCATGCCAAACCGAAGGGACTTTTCTGCTTTGGTGAGGGCCTGAGTGCCAAGCACCACCACTAGGTTTTTCCCCCTTTGGGAAGAAAACACTATGAGATTCAAATGTGCAAGCAGGATTTATGCTGTGCATTTCAGAAAGGAATTCTGAGCTAGTAGGTGTCTAGTACTTTGTCTAGTACTAGTCAGTGCCACTACAGTTCCTAGCATTGAAAAGAAATAAAAAAAAACCTCATGGTTTGATTTTTGGAAAGGTCCCATTTCTTCTTCTCTATACACAAATCCCACAGACGTCTAGCTCTGACGGATCATTTTAACGATCTTCATGCATTGCCCAGATCAGAGCCAAAAAGGTACAACTTAACTCTCTTCCACTGTTTCCAACTGATGAGTTCCTCAAGTGTAACCGTGCTTAATTCCCAGCTGTCCCACAGGTCAGGGGAGCTAATCCCCTGAGTTTGGGCTAATAGTGAGCTAATTGTGAGTTTGGTGTGAGTTTGTAATGGTGTGCTGCTGTAATGAGGAAGAGCTGAGACACCAGGAACCCTCCACTGATGTGCTGGCTGTTGTGCTATATGGGAGGCCATGTAGGACAGGGAATGTGGCCTGTCTTCTCTCCCATTCACGATCACTGAGCCTAAGGAGACTGGAATCATAAGAGGTTCTGTTCATCACTGGTGCTGGCTGCAGAACCTTCACAGAAGGGGTAGGAGATGGAAAATTCATGACAGGCACAGAGACAGAGACAGATACACAGCTTGCTCTAGACATGAGTAATTATGCTGAAATCCTGTTGCGGTCTGAACCAGGAAAGGCTTTTAAATTGTTGGTTAATCTCTTTAGATTTGCATGAATCTGAAGCTCGTGCTTCTGACTGAAGAGGCACCGAGGAGATGAAGTCACCTCTACAGACCCGTCCAAGACAATCTCTCCCTAGCTGCCTTGATCATAAAAGCTCTGCAGCTTTTGACCCATGCTTTTGCAATCTGCAGCAAGTACAGGGCAGAAAGACAAACAAACAAATGAAACGATTCCAGCCCTGATTAATAATTACCATTGGAGTAAACATAAAACATGTTCACACACCGTAATGCTGGTTGACTATTTCCATTGCATTGGAAATGCAAGATCCCAAAAGTCAAAAGTCTTTATTCGGATTTTGCATGTCAAAATTTAATAAGCCCTGAGCTCTTAGCAGCAGTGAAACAATGCATATACAGTAGCTTTCTCTGTAGCCCCTCCTAAAGCAAGCCCTTCACTTGCCTGCTGTGGTCCGACCTCTTTCGTCCTCAAACTGCTGTCTGCGTTAAAAGTAAAGCAACTGTAAAGTGACAATCATTCCTGATCTTTTATATCTATTTAGGTATAAAGCATTGTCTTGCCTGCTGCCATGGGTCTGTGGAGCCGGGCATCGTGGCCCCTGTGTGCCAGCACAGACAGGAGGGCAGCCAGCAACAGCAGGAGTGGGGCCGGCATAGTGTCAGTGTGGCGTCTGCTGGGGGAGGCTGTCTGCTCCACAGATCTCGAGGCTGCGAGTAGATCGAGCTGCACAGAAGACCTCACAGGAAGCAGGGTTTGTGTGCCAACAGTACTCTGAAGCCGAGGGGCATGGGCATGGCACACAGGAACAGAGAAGGGCTGCCACATTCTGACCGCAGGCTGATGGAGGCCCTGTTGACACAGGCCGCTCAGAGACTGCCGATTTGTCCCACAGTGGTGTAAATATCAGGATGAGTACCTGACCATGTTCATGCTATTCATTGAGGAAAAACGTCACTTTAAGCAGCAGCTATTTCTCCAAGATTCTATTATAATAATTAACAGCAGCTAGCATGGTACAGTGGTTAGGACTGCTGCCTCATGGTGCTGGGACCCTAGATTCCCGGGGTGCTGTCTAGGTGGAGTTTGTATGTTCTCCCTGTGTTTGCATGGGTTTCCTCTGGGTGCTCCAGTTTCCTCCCACAGTCCAGAGACATACTGTACTGGCTGGATAAGTGTGTCTATGTGTGTCATAGACTGGCATCATGTCCATCATGTATCCCAGTGCTTCCTGGGATAGGCTCCAGCATCTTCTCCAACCCTATACTGGATAAATCAGTTAGAAGATGGATAGGTTCTGATGTAATTTGTAATCTTGCATCCTTTTCTTTTTTATTTTAATGTAAATGGAATAGACTTGTGCAAATCTTACTTTTCTACTGTGTGAAATTACAGCCCTTCTCCCTCCAGCTCTTGTTATTTTGTGTCCATTTGAGAATGATTAATTCAGTTTCGATCGTGCCTGTTTTCAACCAGTGATTGGCATTTGAGCCGCCCCTGGCACAGATCCACACAGACCTGTGTGCCTCTCTGCAGGAGGTGCCAAGGCTGCAGTTAAGTACACTGTTCTGCTGAAAAACCCGAGACCAGAGCCCAGCCTGCTTGTGTGAAGACAGCCAAGCCCAGACCCAGCTCTACAACTTGCACACCCAGCATGGAGATTCTCTACACACTTCTGGCTTTCGGTGTAACTTCTGCTCTTGCAGGTACAGTAATCACGAAAACCCCGCTTCTTAATGAGGGGCCACTGTAAGGTTTGTGTGCTTGGAAATGGAGAGTTCTGGCTACGCTTAGGTTTTGTAAAACAGTATATCAGCTGTGAAGGAGCTCTTTTGGACATTTTCGGACGCCTCATTAACTTTTTGCACCCGTATTAAAACTACTGTGTTGTACCAAAACTGTTAACCTTACAAAACCTCACCTGGGTTATACGGAGCAGCCCAAAGTGAAACTTTTCACCATAGTGAAACACACTGTAGAGCAGATACCATGACTCCGTTGCACAAGACTGCTTATGCTACATTGGTATC